CGGGTTCCGGTTCCGTACGTAGTACCGTACCGTACCGTTCGTAGTAAACGTTAAACGTAAAAGTAAGTACCGTACCGTACGTCGGTCGGTAGTACTAACAACACACACACACACACACACACACACACACACACACACACACACACACACACACACACAGCTTAGCTGGACGCTTGCGTGCGCACCTATACGGGTTACGGAGGGGATTTGCAACTTCTGTCGGCGACGGGGCGGCAAATCCGCGAGGCCTGCCTCCCCCGCCCACGACAGTACGCAGCAGCCGCGAACAATAGACGCTCCTGAGTGGCAAATTGGACAACAGGCCCGACGCGTTAACAGGAAGCTAGCGACCGCGCGGCGCTGAATCTTTCGACTCTTCTTGCACTCGGGCAGGTGTTTCGAACGTGGCCGCTGTTCGCTGCGGTTAAAGCTAGCTAAGCGGCAAACAGCTAATTGACTGTGGCTAATAGGATGAGCCCGGTGCCCGGTCGCACGCATAACGGCCGCCCTTGTTCCGGGCGGCGCGGCTCTGTGCGGACTCCCGCTTGAAGACGGCCGCAGAAGTCAACACGGTTGCCGGCATTTATCCTGATAAACATACTCCGCGAATCGCTTTGATGCTGCCGACTCGGCGAGAAAGCATTGATAAGACTATGGCGACAACGTATGCGGTTTAGGGAGGCCGAGAGACACTCCGCGCGGCTCGGTTATATACTGTGTAATGGCAAACGGACGAATCTATTTATCGTTTAATAATTTTCCTAAGCTCTGTTACATTTGTCTCTAAACTATAACGGCGAGCACCGTACCTTTTACACATTATGTTTGCTATGGACTCGTGCATGTCCTCAGCTGTTTATATCTCTTATATACCTTTACATTATCACTTTACTTCTATTCTATAATAGCAATAAAGCACGCATTCGCAAAAGGAATGCGTTGATACTATCCACATACTTCTCACACGCAGATATAGGCAACTTAAACAGAATCCAGCTAATAATCGCCCTTACTGTTACATGCAGCCAAATACTGACTCTAGATAAGAGACCCATATGCGGTTGCTATTAGCAAGGAAAGACGCGACTGGGTATAAAGCATGGTCTAATCGTTACTCGATCGAACACTTTCTTGGATAATGACTATATTGTATACGTCACTATCAAGCAGACAATTTGTGCAGCACCATTTGTGTGAGCGCATGCGCATAGCGCACAGAACTTTAAATGCAAATATCGTGTCGCCTAACAAACGACGGCAAGGAAGTATAATCGGTTTTCGTGGTTTTTACCTCTCACGTCTAGAAACTCACCTTGTCGCCTTTGAAGAAATACAGGTTTCCATCCCGCCTGTCGAAGAACACAGTATCTATATTGTTTGGGATGCTTGGCGAATTCGAACCGGGAGGCGCTCGAAAATCTTCGGAAATATTGCGAGGATACTTCTCGAACACCTTGTCATTCTCGCTGTCGTATTTCCAATACTGATGACCTGGAAGAAGGCAATGTCCACAGTTCAGGCTAACGTATACGTGCAATCGACGTGATATGTTTACAACCCGTTACGGTCATGGCGAACTGGATTTCCGACCGTTTGCAAAGTGCACTGTTCTATAAATCAACACATTGTGCAAAGACAATTTAACGGGTGGTTTTATTTACATTCGGATGATATTAGATTTGTGCATAATCTAGGTCACTAAATTTAGGCAGCCTAATCAACATTACAATATTTTTAAGAGACAGTGTCGCGATACGACAAACGGGATTTTAGCCATGAGAAATTGAATTGATAACAATTAAGCAACAAGAACTGAATCGATACAAAGAATGTCAAACAAAATTACATCGTGTGTATTATCATCTAGTTTGAGGCCGCAAAAGTATCACAATTAGCAATTTGTTCAAAAATATACGGACCGTGTAAATGCCGATAGTGTGCGGGCGCGGAATACCAGACGCCCGATGTAAAAACCCAGACAGACTATATCAAACAGGTCTTCGACACCCTTGCTGAATGCTACCCGTCGTGTGTACGGGGTTCAGTGTAATTCATATGATAACACGTCTGCTACGCGTTGAGGTTTAATAAGCCAAGTTTGTAACAGAAGATTAACAGTCCGTACACAAACAAAAGTGAGTTTCATACCTGTTACGGCGCATTAGCTCACAAATTGAGAATTATTTTCTCCCACTCCCCACTTCTTGCTACGTCATTTTTCTCTGACCTCGGCGGGCAGGACTGGTTATACTATTCAGTAAATTGGGAATGAAATGTGTAGGGTGTGTGGCTGTAAATGGCCCGCACTCATCCCCCAAAGAAACCAAGTACATAATCACTGAGCCGTGTACGTGATGTAACGCTATTACCAGTCCGTGCCTCTCTACGACGGGATGAGGAAACTATAATATATGTGAGCTCCAATCCTTAAACTATAAGTAACTTAGTATAAACGTAATTCCTAATGCCCCGGCATATGACAACATGCCCACACCTTCTGGACTTGTTAGCCGCTTTTCTTACGAATTATTTTCTTGTGTTAGGCCAGAAGACGTAAATGCTTGGGGCATAAAGGGCCCATAAGGGCGTTGGAGGACATTATAATAAGGGGACTACGCTCACCTTTAAAGAAGTACACTGTATTCTCCGTGTACGTCCAGACATGCGCGTATCCATCGATGTTACTCTCCAATCCTTTCCATTCGGGTTCAATCTTCAGAGGATCACCGTACCGTGTGCGATTGTATCGATTCTCGTACATCCAATATCGATTATTGCGAAACATGTAAGTGTTGTAGATGAACTGGCCGTCGGGTCTTCGTCTGATCCAATCGAACACCGTATCGAATTTTCCGCTGCATACACCTGCGGAAATAATGGGAAAATATCGTAAAAAATCATCTGTGGCTGTTTATAGAATTTTCAGCTGTGAATTTTATCGCATTGACATAAATCAGAGCAAAGAATTCAACCTTGCGAATGTATCTATAGTGTTTTTTTATTATACTCGCGCCTCTGTTTCTATTTTCGTATTTCTCTCGGCGTCGATCTGAGTATATGAAGCCTCGGAAACAATGATTTCTCGGTATATAGATTTCATGAATTCACAGTTTACGAGCGTTCGCGATAAAGACTTCTCATGTACACAATGATCTTAGCAATCTCTAGCAGCACGCCGATGAAAAGACATACCGTATAAAGCTTGAACCTCCTTGCGATCTTCCCATCCCAGTTCGAAATTGGCGTTGGGTATCAACTTCTGATAGATAGCGTACATTATCGAGTAGTTGCGACTGGTGTGCGCCAACCCGAGCACGTGACCGATCTCGTGGACGGCTACCTTCAGCAGGTTGGTGCCTTGGTTGCTGCCGACGGTGAAATACTCGTCGTCATCCAGATGTATGTCGCCCTGTCGCCACGCGTGCGACAGCTGTCCGCCGTAACCATCGAACTTATTCGGGCAGTTGAGATGCTCGCCTGAGGTAGAAATATCAAGATAATCGTCAGAAAAATATTTATTAACCGTCACAATTAACTAACAATCGCAAGAAAAAAACACAATTTAAATATCAACATGAAGTGCGTCGTATAAATGTATTTCTTCCTCTTTTCGGATTATTCATCAAACGTGAAACAGCTTTCTGATGCCGGCCACAGTGTACTGAAATAAACCCGGTGGCAGAACGCGAAAAATAGATAATAAACCTTGCCGATTATTTTAAGTAAGCCATCGTACCATCGTACGACTGAACATCTATCAAACGGCGTGAGACCGTCTAGCTGCGTACACGACGTTGGTAAACCCACGACGGTTACCGTCTGAACACGTGCGCGCGTCTCAGAATGGTCTTTCACCGATAAAAGAAAACGTAAGTGTTTTTGCGTCCAGACTTATATTCGACACCGCATTTTCAAGGTGAAAGGCCAATGCTAGGATAAGGATATATATAGGATATATATATATATATATAAAAAAAAAAAGAGAGAGAGAGAGAGAGAGAGAGAGAGAGATAGATAGATAGCTTGGCTCACATATATATATATATATTTATTTATATATAAATATATATATATATATGGAACATGCTTGTTGGAACATATAACGAACGTATAATAAAACCCAAGGCTTGCATCATAGCGGAGGAAGACATGCCCCTCATCATTCACGTTGTGAGGGAACTACCTTGATAATTGGGGTGTGTATAATAAAAACAGTCGGGCTATAGTGAGAGACGGAGACATCTGGTAGCCTGCTCCTAATAAGTGTTGTACACGCGTCAATCTTCGGCCTACGTCTTTACTGGGAACCAGATGGCGCCGGAGCGTAAGTTACGCTGTAATTGAGTCGACACGTAACACGTGTAGCCCATCATCGCTGCTCACCGCCTTCAGCTTCCTATCGCGAAATGGATGCGCGCAACAAACTGTTGAATGCGCGCGTCGATTTACTTGGTAAGCAATGAGTGATTATATGACTCACTCACAGAATCCGGCTTTACGACTCCCTATCCGGCAAAGCTGAGATGATATTGGACGGACTCATTGTTGCAATTTCAACACAAAATACCAGTAGTAGTTATAAAATACAAAATACTACCAAATGTATATCAAATGCAGCTACGAAGCAACGACTTCTTAGAGTTGATTATTGTAATTGATTGACTGATTGATTGATCGTCTACACGATTGGTCTTGACCGACCAATTGGTCTTATCTGCATCGTATAATAATGTGATATCAGGGATCTAAATATTAACCCGCGTCTGTAAATGTAAACGTGTTAATTTTCGCGCAAATTTTTGGCTACCAAAATCTGAATGCCAAAATTGAAAATTGCCTAAAATATCGACGAGTGTAATTATATAACACATCTGCATGTCTCTAAAACTTGTAACTTGTAACTAACATCTTTGTCACTCAAAATCACGCGTTACGTGCGCGACTCCAGTAATGCAAATACAGTTTCAAAAATATGCAACTTCACGACTTTTGTTTGCGGTTGGATTTATATAGAGCACAGTGGGGACTCAAATCACATCGATTGTTTTTAACATTATTCACAGTGAAAACCGGCGCGCAACACTTCTGAGCGCGTACGACTACGGTCAGAGTAATCCTCAACTCCAGCTGGAGTCAAGTGACCCGATCAGACACATTCACGGCCGCCGTTGTTGCAAATCTGGGGACTCTGCCCCGTCCGCAGTGACTACTTGCTGTAACAACACGACAAACTTGTTCCCCGAGCGATAAGGCCATGTTAACAAGGGTCCGGGCGAAGATGGGGACAACAGCCTTGCGGGTGGAACACTGGCCGTGCCTATTGTCTGCGCGTTAAAAAGCAGTTGGCAAAACAAATTCTATGCGCGGTTTATTTGTGTGGGCGATCAAGAGGCCCGGCCCGCGACAGATTTCCCTAACTAAGTAGTGTTGCAGGCTGAACTACAAGGGGGGATTAGCCGGCAGAGCTTTCCCATGACTAACCTCACAACACCTCATTGACAACGAAGAATAGGCAAGATGGTGGCAATTACTTTGCCGTATTAGGGACCAGATTATGGCCGCGGAGCTTTCACGTTGCGCAAAGGTCTCGCAAATTAATCATTGTTCTTTGCAACAACGTGGCGCACTGATTTGTTTAATGTCTGGCGCCAGTTTTCAGTCGGCTGCTCGTTTTCGCGCAATACTAACGGGCCCGCGCGACCTATTAGGCACCAATAACAGAATTACCACCTACTGCTCTAGGCACGTTGCTGTATCAATGGCAAGGGGCGCGAACATTTGTTGTTGTGATGGACCGGAGGAAAGTTCAGGCACCGCACGACAGCAACGTAAATTTTCTCTCGTCCAGCGAGGACAGATGTAGGCGAGATACGAGGCCAGAGTGTCTAACTTCTTTACTGGCCCTCGCCGATTATCCAACGAAATAGCTAACGCCTGCTAATATAGTAATTGTAGTCTGACTCCGAAAGTCCCGGTAGTTGAGCCCACAAGCAATCTTAACGACTTACGAAGTCAGCCTACGGTAATTAAAATAATTATTCATTAAAAATTATTTTAATCAAATGGCGAAATCAAACCCTACCTTTGGTTTCTAATCCGTACATATTCTAAGATGTATACATAGCCGTAGACTTTTCCGAGGTATACATCGCCAACAGTTGGAAATCTTGTTGCATCAAGACTTTCTACTGGCAACCATCGCTAAATCCCATTGTAACGGAACTTCAGCGGAAAATATCGTTACAAATCCTTTACCGATGGAGCATGGAATAATAATAATAATAAGAAGAAGAAGAAGAAGAAGAAGAAGAAGAAGATGAAGAAGAAGAAGAAGAAGAAGAAGAAGAAGAAGAAGAAGAAGAAGAAGAGGAAGAGGACGACGAAGAAAAAGGAGAAAAAGGAAAAAAAGAAGACGCCGAAGAAGTAATTGAAAAAGAGGAAAAATAACAATAACAATACCAATAACAGTAACAGTAACAATAACAATAATCTTCCCCCCACCTTTTCCGAAGGCAAGCTTAATATCGACCTCGTCGATCGGACTCTGCTTGTCCTCCATGAACACGACGGGTATCACCTCGCTCCACATGCGGAAGGCGAGACCGAGCGCCGTGCGCTGCTTGTTGATGGTCATCTGTGTGCTGTAGCCGGTGTCGACGAGCCGCCACGTGACGATGCGTCGGTTGAACGCGTCTCCCGTGTCCATACCGAGCACCGCCGACCGTTTTCTCCGGGTTCTCCGCAGCTCGCGCACGCGCTCTAGCGAGCGACGCGCCCGCTCGTCGTGCGCGCCACTCTCGAGCTCGCGCATGTGCTCGTCGGCCCAGCGACGTCGTCGCAGCGTCACCTCGGCATCGGACGTCCTCAGCTGCGGTATGAGCAGGCTTCTGAGTTTCGACGGACCGTGCCGCGCCGCGGCGCGCTTCTGCACGAAATGCCGTGAGTTGCTGTCGGCCGCCGCTGCGAGCGTCGCGTTCTCTGTCGGCTGCAGCTTCTGCTCGTCGTCGCGGTTTCCGCATCGCGTCTCGCTCATCATCGTTTTCGTCGCCTCGTCGACAACGCCCGTCTGCGGCAGCTTGTACGTCTTCTGGTACTCTCGCACCGCCTCGCGAATAGCCGCCTCGCCGCACGCGTCCGGACGTCGGCTGTCGGGTGCCGTCGGCAGCATCTCCCAGAGGTTGTCGAGCGCGTAGACGTCGCGCCGCCTACGCCGCTGCATCTTGCAGCGCAGGTAGCCGTACTTCTCTAGCATCGCCTGCGGAAACAAAATGGAGGGGGGTTCACGTGAATCAATACATCGATATCGATATCAATGTCACTTCCAGTGCCAATGTCAATGTCCGAATCATTATCAATATCAATATGAATAATATATAGTAAGGCATGGCCTTTGAGCGACCACCCCGGTTGAATTGCTACTTTTTTTTATAGCGAGCAAATATGATAATTGATGCGTCAGAATTCAAACAAGGGAGCCGGAAACTGAAATGTTGTGCACGAAAGTGAGGCTCCCAGAATTCTGGTATTAGCCAATTTTCTGGTAGGTTACTGGTTGCTTCCATCTCTTTTGCACGCCTTATAACATGTTTCGCCCACCGGCGGTGGTCGTATCAACATCAACATCAACATCAACATCAACATCAACATCAACATCAACATCAACATCAACATCAAAATGAAACAATGGCTGCAATCCTCGGCATAAGGTCGCACGTTATTATTACCTGGTCTTACTGACTTCCACGTTGTGCTATTTTAGTGTCGTGATAGAGAATTGCGATTTCTACGCAACAACACTATCCCCAATAACGTTATATGGCTGCTTCGTGCACTCGCTCTCCTGTCGCTTTGAAGCCCCTAGCAGGCTTACTGCCTTAGGGGCGCGCAGTATATATGTCGCTTCGGCTAACATGAATTAATTTACGATTAATGCAGCGCGGTAGCGTCGGCAAGTGTTACTCTGTTGGCGGATCAAATGTCGTATCGTTGGTGGCACGCCGGAGTTGCGCTTGTAACCATTTATGCAATGACAGCTAGGAGCGTGGTAAAAAGTTTAGCTTTAATTTGAGGATTCGTTCTCGCTCTCTCTCTCGCTCACTCTCTCTCTCTCTCTCTCTCTTACCTGTCTTTATATGTATGTATATATAGAGAAGTATATATGTAGAGATATAGAGTAGAGTATATATATATATATATATATATATATATATATATATATATATAGAGAGAGAGAGAGAGAGAGAGAGAGACACAGAACGTGTGTAGTGTACACGGGCTCTCGTCTTCCCGGTGGAAAGCTTCTGTATTAGATATTCACTTGTATCGGGCGCGCGATAGACGAAGAGTAGCGCTAATGAATACTATAGTTCATAGCATCTATAGCTGAAGCCTTAGATAGAGCCAAGCGGCGGTGGGAGGGAGGGAGGGAGGGAGGGAGGAGGGAGGGAAGGAGGAGGGAGGGAGGGAGGGAGGAAGGAGGAAGGAGGGAGGAGGAGGGA